TTCCACATCACTGAAGTTGCACCATTTTTACAAACCAATTCTGGTTCATCTGTTTCACTCAACAATCGGCCATGTGCGTATGAAAACAAAGGCACTGCGCATGCACAGTATACTCATATTCTATCGCGATATTTCATTTTCCTATTGTTGCCTAACATTATACCGGTATTACCGTGAACGGTATAATATGGCCCAGCCCTATTTACCACTATTAAATAAATTAATAACTAACTTCTTAAACTGTGCTTTACCTTTACTCCTTTTCTAATTGTTTTATTGGTTAAATTTAAACCATAAATTTAATTATAAGTGCCCTTACACCGTCTCATGCTTCTCAACTTAGCTCATAGACTGTTACATTCTATATGAAGTACTTCTGATTGCCTTGGGGTTCAAATGTGTAGTAAACTTAAACTTGAAACACTTGGTTGAATAGTTTGATATTTTCATCAGTTTTGCCTCCCCATTCATTCTGTTGGTAGATAGCAGACAACAAAGTGCATCTGCCTTAAGCAACCAAGTCACGATTTTCAGTGCAAATTTAAAACAGTCAACATCAGAACAAAAAATATTTTCCACTAACCAAGTCTTAATTCTTTTTAAGACCTTTGATGGACTTACGTAAGACCTTTTGCTTCTATTAAAGATTTATTTTTAGATTGATGAATTCAATGCCTTTTAGAATAAGGATGAGTAGGGACCCTTCAAAATGAGTCATCTTTTTTTAACATTTATATTCTAATGACAAACAACAGAAAATGACATTTATTTAAAAAAAAATAATAATAATTATTCCGGGCTTCTCATTGATTTTCTTTCACAACCAAATTGTGGTGACCCCAAATGGGTCTCATCTTTCACTATAGACCAAAAACGTGTACAGTTCATTCACCATCTTATACAACCAGCTGCTCCAACAACTACGTGTGCTCAGGGAAAGTAAAAGGAGAAGGAAGGATGGATCCCAAAAATGACACAGGCCACCCTGTTGCCACCCCTCCCGAAGCACATACCATGGGTCACTATTTTTAGGAGCTCCCTGATCTACACGCTGAGCCAAGTAGATAAAGAGGGACGAGTTGGGTGGTGGAGGGGTGGTAGAAGGGGACAGTAGGTGGGGCTTGGAATATAGGAAAGCATGCCACCAGGGTGGTGGTGCGAGAGGTGGGGGTTAGAGCAGGAGGTGAAAAAACTGTTAGAGACATGTATGGACAGCTGCATGCCAAACACAGGTGCTGAACAGGACAATTTTTGATGCCTTGCAACATCCTAAACCAGGCATACTGCAGCTAAGGCTAAACAGGAGAGGTGCACAGGAAGAGCATACTTACTTGTTTTCAAACACAATTGTGAGCGAGTCTTCGTGGACATCTTTGATATAACCCTAAAAGACAAAAGAGAGAATTTTTATTCCCATGAATGCACAACAGAAAGACAGATGGGTGGGGCTGTGAGCATTTGATTTTTTTTTTTGTGTACATGTAAACAACACAGGCGGCTGTGAGCAATGTTAGACTGATACTGTGACTGGAAATACAAAAGGGAAAAAAAGCGCATCTTGGGCTTTTTTAGAAGCCAAGACATCACATCGCTGACACAATTCTCTGGCTGTGAATTCTGTGTTGGATAAAGTGACGAGGAACACTGACTCCTCCTGACAGCACAGACAGCCGGGAAATCTCTCACACACACGCTCACTCCCTCTCTCTCACACATACACACACACGCGCAAACAACAACAGAATTTAAATCCAGAAGCGAGCCCTCTTCACTGTGTGTTTGTGTGTGGGAGATTTAAAGACAACAATTTTACACAGGACTGTTCAAATGAGTGCGTGTACAGGCATCCGGGCCAGCCTATAGGGGACAATCATTTGCCTGACCATTACGAGAGATCACTTGAACCTACTACTCAGCCATCATGGCTGTCCACAGATCTGTCTCAGCATGCCATAAATTTTAAGCAACCTACTGCCCATTTGTGGTGTGGGTGTGTCACGTCTCTCGGTGTGACACGACCATATATGGGACAGAGGGGTTGTACAAGTATTCTTGATGGTTTGTACTGTAGGGGGTGGGGATTCACCTGCTGGAAAGATGCTAATGTTGACCTGAACCTGGATAAAATAAATGTTTAGACAC